AAATAAATATATATAATTTAATTAACAAATTTTTATCGAATAAACATGGACCACCGTACGACTCGCTTATGACCTACACAGGTTGCGCGCGATGGATCAACATTACATCAACTGTTTACCTGAGCCCCCAAGATCGCCCGATCTGTCTCCTGCTAAACATGTCTGGGATTTAATTATTTGTAGACTGTTAAGTTTGCAGCACCCTCCACATAATTTCTTTCTCATTCTTTCATTCTTTCTCATGAAGTTGAGGCAACCTGAAGTGAAATATCCAAGACGACATCTATCAGTACTTCATCAGAAACGAACCTATGCGTACTAATGAGTTAATGAAAAATTGCGGGTCGTCAACACATTATTGGACCAGTTTTTTTAGTAAGTTGTTCAATAACGCTCAACTTTGAATAATTTATTAAGTAAGAGGCACTGAACATTTGTACCAAAAATTAATAAAATCGGATAACCATATACCTATGGGTGTTTACCCTTTTTGTCAGTCAGTACACGATACACATACTAATGGTACGCTGACTTTCGATTCAAATTTCGTCCAAACCGCGCAGTGACGTAGTGCGGGACGAACTTTCAAGTGATTTTGACACTTTTCGATTGAATAGTGTAAAATATTGCAATAATTTATTTGTTTTTGTATTAGTAATGACTATATTTTCCTGTATATAACAGAGAAGAACTGAATAAATGTTTAAAATGTCGGACTGTGCGGTGGCGACCTGCAAAAAACATAAATACGAAATATGAAAATAGTGCAATGTAAAATAATTCCAAATGCCAAAAAATATGGTAAATTCTTATCTAAGAAAAGACAAACTTAATTTAAACAATGTTTAGTAAAATGCCCAAGTATAATAGGTCTAGAAGCAAAGAAAATAAATAGGCATTTTAAAATTTTAGCAGATGAAACAGTAGTTTCATGTCCCAGTACAACGGTCCCTTTTGAAGTAATACTATGCACGAACAGGACACGAACATACAATATGATTCAAATGAAAGGAATAAATTCATTATAATGGAAGTAGTTGGTTTTTCGAAAAAATGCTCGGACAGGTCAAATTTGTTTACTCAAAGCGCATTTTTTTAAATAGAATTAAATTTTCCCCCACTTCACATTTTTGGGCAGTGACGTCATTGGCAATTTTTTTATATAGTAACCCCAATTTTTTTTTCTTGATTTTGATAGATCTTGCAATTTTCTACTCGGAAACATAATATTTGAAGTATCTCACATAATAATTTTTTTTGATAAAAGTCATTTAAAAATCAGATACATAAATTTTATTTTATTTTGAAACACAATAAATAAATAAAAGATTATTTGTAATTAAGGAGGTCCTTTCGCCACCAATATTAAATAAAAAATATTAGATTATGACTAAAATTAATTTTTTTCTAATAGTAGATGTCCTTATTTATCTAATAGTGAACTTTTAACTATACCTTACCGTGCAAATTTTTGAAAAAAAAATTTTTTTAAAAATGTGTGCGTTTGTACAGTGTCTTATGAGAAAGTAAGACTTCAACAACAATTTTCGAATTATAATTAATTTTACTATTATTTATTGATTAGATGGAGTAGACAAAAACTAAAAATAAGGTTTTTGAAATATTTAGGTTTTGTTTTTTACAATAAAATATATAGGTTACCGTGGAATTTATTGAGAAATTATTATTAAAAAATCACAAAAAATTTTCAACTAGGTTACTTGAATTTTTTTTAATATTAATTTCTCAATAAGTTCCACGGTTTACTATATATATTTTATTGTATAAAACAAATTCTAAATATTTCAAAAACCTTATTTTTAGTTTTTTTCTACTCCATCTAATCAATAAATAATAGTATAATTCGAGAATTGTTGTTGAGGACTTACTTTCTCGTGAGGCACTGTATAAATACTCATATTTTAAAAAAAAAAATTCTCAAAAATTTGCAAAATAAGGTATAGTTTTTTTTTTTTTTTGGCATAGGCACATTGCCATTCAGCCAGACACTAAGGTATAGTTAAAAGTTCAGTATTAGATAAATAAGGACTATTAGAAAAAAATTAATTTTATTCATAATCTAATAACTTTTTTTTTAACATTGGAGGCGAGAGGTGTGGCGAAAGGACCTCCTTAATTAAGTGCTTCATCTAAAAAAAAAAAAATAATAATAAAAAGAATTTAATGACAATTTCACAAATTCTTTTTTATTATTATTATTATTAATAATAATATTATTATTATTTTGTTTAATTAAGCACTTAATTACAAATAATTATCTTTTATTCATTTATTGTGTTCTCAAAATAAAATAAAATTTATGTGCAGATCTTTAAATTACTTTTATTCAAAAAAAAATTGTTATGTTAGATATTTCAAATATTATGTTTCCGAGTAGGAAATTGCAAGATCTAACAAAATCAAGAAAAAAAAATGGGGGTTACTATTTAAAAAAATTGTCAATGACGTCACTACCCAAAAATGGGAAGTGGGAGAAAATTGAATTCTACTTAAAAAATTGCGCTTTGATGTCCGAGCATTTTTTCGAAAAACCAACTACTTCCATTATAATGAATTTATTCCTTTCATTTGAACAGAAAAATTGGTTTTGAGTATGTTCAAAATAAACTTGACAAAAAAATGTTTTTTACTTACTTTTTATAAATAAATAATTTGTTTCTGCACACTTATTTTTATTTCACAAAATAATAAAAGGGATTTTACACCCAGAAAGTACAAATTTGAGTCAAACTTGTATTTTGAGTCTATATTCTTTACTTATCTTATGGCCAGATTATGGATTTTGTCGCAAAATACCTATAATTTATGAGAAAAATTAATATTTTTATTGGTATTATTTACCTTATACCCTCATATTTGTAAAAGAATATATTACAAAATAACCAATACAGCTTAAGTAACCATAAAATCTAAAACCGGCGAAATATCACATTTCAAACACTATCTCCCATTTAATGCTAATAATTCTATGTCCCACGTGACGTCACCGTCAGTCAGCTGCATGCGCAGGAAGATACCGTTAGCACAGTTTATAGCTTAAAAGAATCAGTTCGCTCACTCGGACCAATTCGATGTCCCAAAATAATATCCACTCCAGGGATACAAATTCAGGATGCGCAGAAGAATGCTGTTTGAATATAGGCGGTTGTCATATATTGAACTGGTTAGGAATTGATTCTGTATGCGCCAGGGATACAAATCCGAGTTGCGCAGTGTATAAACTGGAAAATTGAGATCAAAAGTGCCGACGCAGAGTGAGCGAACTGATTCTTTAGCTATAAACTGTGCCGTTAGTCTGTGTATCGTGAGTCAGTATATATTAAAAATCTGATGTGTCCAACACATGACTTTCCTATCTAGTTATTACAGGCTTTTTCCGTTTATTGTGTACAACCTATTGCAGCATCTCTATAAATGTTTAGAGGATAAACTAAATATATACATTGTCCACATACATCTACCGCGAAACATTTTTCTATAGATATTCATTGAAAATGAAAATACTGAAAAATTTAAATTTAGCACTTTTCCTACAATTTTTCCATTACGGTCCATTTAAAAAAAATCATGTATGAACAAATATTATAGAGATCGATATCGCAACTTTTATTTCAATAATTTTCATAAAAATCAGAATTTTGCACATTTTGTCAAATTTCTCTAATACGGACCATTTCAGGAAATTTTTACATAAAGCAAAAATTATAGATAATAATATTAGAAGTAACTTTTATTTGAACAATTTTCTTCTCCAAACATAAATAACAGATATATTCCATAAAATATAAAAACGGCCTCCCATAAAGTACCCCCCCAGATGTTCCGACTTTGTCCAAAATCTAATCATTTCACGTCAGGCCGAAATAAAACTTAAGTTTAAAATTTATTGATTTTTTCTTTATCCGTTTTTGAGTTTTCTTCAAATTTCGAAATTTACACATTTTCTCAAATATCTCGAATACGGTCCATTTTAGAGAAATTATTTATGGAACAAAAATTATAGAGAATTATATAACAAACAACTTTTGTTTGAACAATTTTTATAAAAAAAAATATTTTTTTACATTTTGTCAAATTTCTCGAATACGGACCATTTTAGGAAAATTTTGTAAATAACAAAAATTATAGATAATAAAATAAGAAGTAACTTTTATTTAAAAAATTTTCTTCCCCAAACGTAAATAACAGATATATTCCATAAAATATAAAAATGACCATCTATAAAGTACCCCCCCAGATGTTCCGACTCTGCCCAAAATCTAATCAGCTCATTAGACGCTGAAATAAAGCTTAAGTTTGAAATTTGGTGTTTTTCCGTGTATCGGTTCATGAGTTATGCGTTATACAGACACACACAGACACACACACACACACACACACACACACACACACAGACATCATCGCGAAAATAGTCAAAACGGATTCAGGGGACCTCAAAACGTAAAAATCCGTCGAAAACTCGAGGTCGAAAAAAATCATGATTCCTATACTTTCCTTATATCTGTATACAGATAGGAAAGTAAAAATTGTATTGTCGGTATACGCAAATATTACGGCTAGACAAGGTAACAGGTAACACATTACAAGGGAGTCAGGTTGACATAAATATTTCTAAGGTTGCAGCCGGGTCTTGTAGAAGTTAGTTGAAATAAAGTTAGTTAATAGTTTTGTGTATTTATTAAAGTATCTACAAGCAGCACCACAAATAATAAAGTCAATAATTTTAAATAAGGTTTTTAAACTTTAAAAAAATATTTATAAAAACTAAGTATAACGTTTTGATTCTCTATAAATACGAAAAACAAAATTAATAAAGGCCTAAGGCAGGTGAATTATTTTCTGTCATTTACATTTACTTTTTCCTTTATTCAATATAAAGGATGTAAAAATTTGAAGCATAGAAACGTTTATTAAAGCTATTTTTATAAACTTTAATCACCTCATTATGTAATTTTCTTGTATCAAAATAATATATTTACCTTAAAATTTGTCCAATGTTCAAGATCGGATAATTCTGCGCATGCAGCTATCGAAATTATAGAAACAAAAAATATTAATTTCATGTTTTCTTCTTTGTCTAATTTATATATAAAAAAAAATTATGTTCGACTTATATATTGGCGACTTTACCGTTATCTTGTTATAACAAGGGTACGTAATTAATCATATTAACTACTTAATCACATTAAGTTCTTATTGGGATATTATTACATCATTTTTTTTATTGATTATTTTAGAACAAATATCAATTTAAGATATTACCTTTCATTTAATCCTAAATAAATAAAGTTCCTTCTTTTTTAAAATCAAAATATTATTGTATTAAAAAATTAATCTTATCTGTCGCAACGCTTTTTCATAAATTATATATATTATTTGTTATACCGGATGGCCCCGCGTTAATTTCGGATGGCTTAATTTCTGACAAGTATTTGAAACTTTTAATTTCTAAATTTCTGACAAATAGTCTATAAGACGTTTTTGGCCAAAAAACCTTTATAATTGGTTTTAGTTATTTGTGATCCTTTCTCTATTGTTTTATTGCTCAGCCGATTATAGTTTCTTATTACTAAAAAGGAAGCCGCCCGAGGTAAGGACCGATAAAGAAAAAATGAGAGGAGTAAAGCTGATGAAAGCAAGGTATGTTACGAGTATGATAGATTTAGAGAATCGCCATAGACCAGGTGGCAATGATCCATATTTTGTATTTATAGAACACAATATTAAAAATTTTGGTAGACTTTTTCCTATTAAAATAGGACATTTTGTCGAATAATTAAAAAACGATATTTTGGATAATAAATATGTGGTTATTAATAGGGTCAAAGTAATATATAGATCTTTAGAAAACCTCAAAACTGTGCTGCAAAAAAAATTAAGCCAAGAATACATCATGCATGCAACCGAACGATATGCCATTCAATGGTATACAAATGGTTCCAATACCATAGGAGGAACTTGAATAGAAGTGTATGGGCACTCAGAAAGAGTCCCGGGACATAACGGGGTAAAGGGTAATCAGATTGCAGATAGTCTCATAAGGAAAGGGACACAAACACCCTTTGTGGGACCTAAGCCGGTAAGAAGTAGGCAGTACAAGAATCGATAATTAGAATCATCTCTTTTGATTAAGATAGGCTAAGATACTTCTGGGTGAATATAACCATAAAAGATTCTAAGCCTGTATCAGCAAGAACAAGCTAAACATTGCAACAGGGGTCTTTACCGGGCATTGCCGACTCAAACGATACCTTAGGAAATTAAGTCAGATGAAACCTCCATTCACATTCTGACTAAATGTGTAGCATTCCAGATTCCAAGGGCACTATACTTAGAAGCATACCATCTACATAACTTAAAGCCACTTCAAATCCTACACTTTCTTAAGAAGATATGATTGGAAGCGTCGTTATAGACATCGATACTATTTCCTTGATGCATTAGTGTCAGAAGGGGGCACAATAGATCTTCTAGTTCGTAGTGCAATAATATCCAATACCCAACATAACATCATGTTTGTGGCTCCTGACGCTACACGGTAACATCTGGGATGAGCGCATTTGTTAGTCCAATCAGTGAATTATCCAACTTCTGTTATATTATATTTTTTAAATCGTCTATGGATTCCAGAAACGTTTTATAAACAACATATTTTAAATGATTCAATAGAAAAAATCAAGGTGTGATGCACCTCTACGTCCAATCCACCGTCTTGACAACACGTAATATAAACCATAGCCATTTTGTAGAAATTATAAATCTTCCTCCCTTATATCTTTAACCAGAGACTATACAGGGTGTTCCATCTCAGACGAGCCAGCCCGTATATTTCTTATCCCATAGTAATTGAAAAAAATTCCCGAAACATTTCATGTATGATAAAACAAATAATTTTTATTAGAATGTGATTTTTTTCATACACTGTTGTAAAGAGGCTTCCAAGAACTTACAAATGAAGTATCACTCAACCCCTCTTTTCTATTCAATTTTGAGGGGTTGAAGCGCCCCCTCATAGGGGGTTGCTAGTTTAAGCCTCAAATATACGTCGAAAGATGTCCCCCAAAGAAAATCATCCGATGTGTCTCAGGAAATGTTTCCAAATACTATAGGATAAGAAATATACTTGTCTAAAATGCAAAAAAGTAAAAAAAATCTACTAATTTTGCAGATAGAACTTTTTTTGCTAGGACGACAGAATATTAATTGTAATGCGAAGAATATCGGCCCACAAATTATTTTTTTGAGGGTATTGTGTGTGATCTTTCCGAAAATTATACAGATTCCCATCTCTCCAATACCGCCAATTATTCCTATTTTGCAAGAAACTTTTGTATTGATCCCAATTTATTTGACGTACCACCCCTGCCCATCAAAAAGAAAAAGTTTACTTTTCTGAACCCTCGTTGCATCCACCGCTATTGCACATTAAAAAAAAAAGAAGAAGAAAAGACGAAATTATTTTCTCTCAGACGCGCATTGTCACACTCTTTTATAAAGGAAAAAGTAAATTGACCCGAACGGAAAAATGGCCTCCCGTTTTCCGCGAAAACCTGAATATTTTCCAGACACCTTATTGTTGGATGGATACGGCCTTTCTGTTGAGAAATATTTGGAAAAACGTAGAAACGGAAAGGGGACGTCACACGCCGTATTGGGATGGTGAAGGGAGTCTGGGGATTTTTTATACTTATACCAAAATAGAGATTCATATTAATAATAATAATAATATTATTAATAATATTAATAATATTAATAATATTAATAATATTAATAATATTAATAATATTAATAATATTAATAATATTAATAATATTAATAATATTAATAATATTAATAATATTAATAATATTAATAATATTAATAATATTAATAATATTAATAATATTAATAATATTAATAATATTAATAATATTAATAATATTAATAATATTAATAATATTAATAATATTAATAATATTAATAATATTAATAATATTAATAATATTAATAATATTAATAATATTAATAATATTAATAATATTAATAATATTAATAATATTAATAATATTAATATTATTAATAATATTAATAATATCATGTGATAATATACCGTTTAATAGTTTCCATTTTAATTTTTTTTTTCTAAAGCATGGAATTTCAAAAATATCACCAGAAGCCCGAACTACCCGCGATCTAACAGTCTTGCTGAAAAAAGGGTAGGAATTGGTAAAAAAATTATTAAAAGTTCACTGGAGGGAAATTAAGATATTGAAATTACATTGCTTTAATATCGTAAAATAAATACTGGATTCATAAAAACTCACCGCCATTATGTAAAGCTGTTCAAAATTGTGAGATACCGCTCGATTTCCTAGGTTCTTTCAACCAATTCTTCATTACATCCGACTTTCCTTGTTTCTTTACTAAAGTCTTACTTAGACAACCCAATTATGATGAAAATCCTCATAATTGCTCAAATCTACTCCTTTGTAACCTAAATGACTTTCCTGAACATACTGTTATATACACCGATGCATCCAAGTCAGACTTAGGCACTGGTTGCGCCTACTACGTCCCGTCTCTGCATATTAAAGCTCTTTACAAATTACCTGACAATTTTTCTAGTTACACTGCAGAAGCGATTGCGATACTAGAAGCCTTACAATTTGTAACAGAACCTAACACTAAAGCAGCTCTAATTGCGTCAGATTCTTTATCTGTTTTAAAATCGGCTGTAGCTCTGGATATTCCTAATTTTAATTCTAATCCATACATTCTCTTGATCAAAAAGGCATTGTTCCAACTAATTAATAATAACGTAAAGATATGTTTTATATGGGTAAAAGCTCATATTGGGCTTAAACACAATGAATATGTTGATATGCTAGCAAAATCTGCAATAAAAAAAGGAACCAACACCGTTCATAACATCTGTAGCCCAGATATTGTCGCTTTGATAAAATCCAACAATATGAGAAAATGGAGGCATGATTGGTCACAATTCTGTTGCACTTATTCGAATCAGTACACTAAAATTCAAAGACATATTCCAAACTCACCCTGGTTTAAAAATCATATAATTCCGAGACACTACATTACATCTTTAATTAGAACCAGATTTGGTCATGGCAGTTATCCCAAACACTTATTTAAAATTAATGTAAAAGAAGATGAAAATTGCGAGTTTTGTGAAACAACCGGAGACCTTAATCACGTTTTCTTCGAATGCAAGAAATACTCAGTACATTCAAACACTCTTTATATGAATCTTATAAAAAATAACATTCCATCCCCCTTAAATATTGAAACAACTTTAACACATTTTTCTGATGATATTATCAACTGCCTCTTACAATTTCTGAAAGACACTAAGATTCGTCTATAATTAAAATCTTAATCTTGTTTCCTCTGTATTTTACCTATTTGTTTACCCTCTTACCGAGGCCTAATTTTGTTTGTCTATTAAAAAACGTCCTGATGGGTCCCTGGACGAGAAGCGAGTGTCCCCGTCCTATATTGTTTATTTTTTTTTTTCTTCTTCTTATACCTCTTGCTGTTAGCAAATATTCTTGGGTAGTTCTAATTATGGACGAATCTGTGTCTGGCTGAATGGCAATGTGCCTATGCCAAAAAAAAAAAAAAAAAAAAAAAATATCGTAATTCACCTCTGAAACACATTGGCTTTTTCCCATCCCAATTATTATTGAGCAAAATATGCAAAACAAAAGTACCAATTAGTTCAAGTTATGTGAAATTGTGCTTGTAATAAACATGATGTATATATTACCCATGGTCGCTCGCAGTCGGTAGACGTGTATTCGAATTGCTCCTAAGAATTTGTAATAACGGGTCTCTATTAACAAATATTAGCGTATTTTTGTAATGGTGGATGAACTAAAGCAGTAGGAAGTGTTTGTGAAAATAAATTAAGTGAAAAATTGCTTGTGGAAACAAGAAAACTCAAAAATTGCGGTTTTATTCTGTGACTTCAGAAATATTCTGTATTGGTATAGCAGTCCACACACGTTCATTTTCTAATTTTTTGATGCCTACAATGAATTCAAAGACAAGAAGCGCTAGTCAACAGATGAACGAAAATGTTATAGATCAAATCGTTCAAAAGGTATGTCAAAAGCTAGATGAAAAAATTGATGTGAAATTTAAAAAATGGAAGATAAAATATCCAAAATGTTAAACAGGATGGATGAAAAAATGTTAGATTTAACGAATAAAATGTCAGAAGTTAGTAAATCCGTAATTGCACATGATAATGAACTTAAATTTATCTCAAAAAAATTAGATGACATGGAAACTTTTCAAAGAAGAAAGATATTAAGGTTTGATGGCATAGGAGAAAATGATAATGAAAATTTAATGTCAATTATGATAAATATATTAAATAACTCAATGAAAGTCAAATGTTCATCTTCAGATATATGTAATCTCTACAGACAAGGAAAACTAATAAGAGGTAGCAATAATGCAAGGATAGTAGTAATTGAGTTTGTATCTTTGTTAAAGAAGAATGAAATACTAAAAGCCAGGAAAGAGTTGAAGCAAACGAAGATATTTGTCTATGAAGACCTAACAAAATGTAAATATGCACTTTTAAAGAAAGCCAAAAAATTATATGGACAAGAACATGTATGGAGCTTTGGAGGAAATATTTTTGCAAAAATAGATAATCAAATCAAGAAACTGGAATCTAAGGATTATTTATTATAATATTATGAATATGTTCATGTATTTTTAGATAAAGGACAATATCACTTTGGTTTATAGTACAAAGATAATAATTATTAGAGATGGGAATTTTTAAATTTATATTAATATTATAATAAGGTTTTAAGTTAATTATTCATTAAAAAAAAAGTGTTCTATGCACCAAAATACTTACTATGTAATGTATTTCTCCTAATTTCAAAATTTATTTTTTTGTGAGCATCTTAGGGGTAATTTTGAATGTTTACAACTAAATCAAGATAACAAATAATATTAATTTAAATTTTCAGAATTGTAGAGGGTTAAATACGAAAACGTTGGAATTTTGCAGAAATTCTTCAGAAGGTAACTATGATATAATTATTGCGGTTGAGACTTGGCTTCATGAGGGGGTAGTAGATGGTGAACTTGTTGATTTAACTGTATATAACTTAATATGAGCGGATAGGGATCGAATGGTTACAGGTAAGTCTAGAGGTGGTGGTGTACTTATTGCCATAAAGAAACAGCATAAAATTTTATCATTTGTTCAACAAAGGTCTTTATGTGAAAGTCTAGTTGTTGAAGTAAAAATAAATAATAAATTTAAATGTATTATTATGGGAGTATATATACCTCCTGATCTTAATTTAAACCATTATATCAAATGCTTTGAATATTTACAAGAATATGTAAAAGATATTAACAATACATTCATTTTTGGTAATTTTAATATTCCAGAAATCCAGGGTACAAATATTGCAATGTTGAATAATATTAGCCCCAAACTAAATACTTTAATGCATTTTTTAAGTTTTAATTCATTTTCTCTATTTAATTGTATAAAAAATTTTCAGAACAAGACATTAGATTTAATAATAGGTACCACTGAAAACTTAAATAATTGTAACGTATACCGGGAACAGTTACCTCTAGTACCCGAGGATATGTATCACCCATTTCTGGCAATAGACATTTCGTTTAATAAAACAAGGTATAATGACACTGATAAATTAACTGAAAATAAATATAATTTTAAGAAAGCCAACTTTGATTTAATGAGTGTAATGATGAGGGACATGGATTGGAGTGACGTTATCGAAAATTCAGATGTAAATATCGCATTGGATATCTTTTATAAAAAAATGTATAATGTGTTTGATTTTACTGTACCTAAATACAAGGTTTATAATAATTTTAACAAATATCCTAGGTGTTTTACACGGGAAATAAAGCCATTAATTAAAGAAAAAAATAATTATAGAAAATTAAAGGGAATTTCTACTTATTACAGCGATAAATATATTGAGATGAGAAGAAAAGTAAAATCGTTAATAAACGTCGAACATAAGAAATACTTACAGCAAATCGAACAAAGTATAGATTCAAATATAAATAATTTCTGGACTTTTGTTAATAAAAAAAAGGGCAATGGTAACCAATTAGATAAATTTAAATGGGATGGTAACGATATACCTGAGGGAGAAGTAGCTAATAAGTTTGCAGAATATTTTGCAGCCACTCACTGCACTGAAAAGGCAAATTATAATATTGATTTATTGAATTTAGTAAACACTACTATATTAAATATTCCTAACATAGATGAGAACGATTATAAAATGGCTTTAAAAAAATTAAAACCGAAAAAAGCTGCTGGACATGATGCCATACCCCCATATATTATAAAAGGTTGTAATGAGTATTTAAAAATACCGTTAATTCATATATTTTACGGTCTGCATCTTTTCCAGAAATGTGGAAACTGTCAACTGACACTCCAATTCACAAATCGGGCAGTAAGAGTGACATAGAAAATTACAGAGGTGTAGCAATTTTGTGTGCTCCTTCTAAGATTTTTGAGCAGGTTCTACATTCATATTTATATAATCACATTAAAAACAAAGTCATAGACCAACAACATGGATTTGTTTCAGGCAGATCGATCGATACAAATTTATTATTGTTCACGGAATCGGTAACTAATATATTTGACCATAAATCACAGTTAGATGTCATTTACACGGACTTTAAAAAAGCTTTTGATAAGGTTAATCACACAATATTACTAGAAAAATTGCACAATTTTGGTTTATCCGCTAATTTATTAAAACTTTTGAGTAGCTATCTGCAAAATAGAAAATTTTTGGTGAAATTTAATGGAAACACTTCAGGGAAGTTCTATGCGAACTCAGGGATTCCACAAGGCTCTAATTTAGGCCCAATTTTATTTATTATGTTTCTTAATGATATTTCTAAATTTTTATTGTTTGCAGATGACTTTAAGATATTTAGAAAGATTCAAACTGTTAGGGAGTGTGTGTTGTTACAAAAGGATATGATTAATGTATTTAAT